CTCCTCCTCTTCGCCCTGGGCCGGCCCGGGGCCGCCGCCGCGCTGGGGCTGTTCGAGGGGGCCGTGCGCGGGCTGAGCTGGGCCTCCCGCCCCGGGCAGCCCCCCGACACCGCCGCCCTCCTGGCCTCCGGGCCCGACGGGGAGATGCTCTGGCTGGACGTCGCCCACCGCCCCGGGCGGGCGCCGCAGGCGCGGCTCATGGGGCGCTACCTCCTGCCCCCCTGCAAGCAGCGCTGGCACACCTGCGCGGCCTTCCCGCCCCAGGGAGGGCTGCTGGTCTGCGGGGACCGCCGGGGCTCCCTCCTCCTCTTCCCTTGCAGCAGCTCCCCGGGGCGGGCTGCGGAAAGCACCGGCATCGCCGACGGCAGTGTTGCCGACAGCAGCACCGACCCAGCCGGCGAGGACTCCGGCGGCGAGTCGGAGCCCTCTTGCTTGTCACGCAGAGGGGCTTTTCCCCTCGAGGCCCCGCTGTCCGTGCTCTTTGGGCTCCACGGGAAGACGGGGGTCACCTCGGTGACCTGCCACGGGGGCTACATTTACAGCACCGGTCGGGACGGCTGCTACCGCCAGCTCCGCCTGCAGGGCCAGCAGCTGGAGGTCCTGCGGAAGCACAGGCCCTGCAAAGGGCTGCAGTGGATCGAGGAGCTGCGCTTCGCCCCGGATGGAGACCTGCTCGTGCTGGGCTTTCACGCTGACAACTTTGTGGTGTGGAGCAGCAGGACCGGCGAGAACCTGCACTGCGTCCCCTGCGGCGGGGGGCACCGCTCCTGGAGCTACTGCAGCAGCCCTTCGGCAGAGGCCTTCGCCTTCATCAAGAGCGGGGACGTGATGCTGTACCGCTGCGAGGCCGAGCCCTGCGAGCAGCAGGTGCTCCTGGCGTCCTTGCACGGGCGGGAGATCGCCTGCGTGCGGCGTCTGGGGGCAGTGGAGGTGCCTGGCCGCGCCGCCGTTAACGTCTTCGTCACCGGCAGCGAGGACACCACGGCCTGCGTCCTGGCGCTCAGCGAGCACTCCCGGGCAGCCGTGCCCCTCGCCCGGCTCAGCGACCACATCTCCAGCGTGAGGGCGCTGGCGCTGGCCGGCCCCGCAGGACCTGGCGACGAGGGCTTGTCTGCCCTGCTCTTCTCTGCGGGCGGCCGGGCACAGATTGAGTGCTACCGGCTGCTGTGTGCCGGGGACCCAGCCTCCGAGAGCGCCGTGGCCTGCCAGGTCATCCACGTGGCCTCGCACCGGCTGGACGAGCACTGGGAGCGGAAGAAGAACAGGCACAAGCTTGTCAAGATGGACCCGGAGACAAGGTGATGCTCGGGGACTGCCTGAGGCAGGATTAGCGGTGACTGCGGTCCGGGAGGGCGCTGGGAACTGCGCCGGCCTCCGCTGGGATAGCCGCTCTGCGTGGCTGCAGGCAGAAGGAGCCGGCTCGGCTCTGGTGTACGTTGCCCAGCGGCTGGGCCTGGAGGGGCTTTTGGGGTTAGGGAAAGGCTCGGTCTTTCCTCCTGCCTCCTCTGAGTGCGCAGAGCTGTGTCCCGCGCTGGGCTCGGGCTGCTCTGCTGCGCTGCCCGCCTCCCCGGGGCCGCAGGTGTCACCGAGACGTCGGTGAGTATCGCGTGTTTGCTGCAGGTACATGTCGCTCTCAGTCCTGCCCGGGACCAGCTCCGAGCAGCCGCCGACGCCCTGGAAGTTCCTGGCTGCCGCCTGCAGTGATGGATCGGTCCGGTGAGGACCTGTCGCGGGGCTTGGCAGGGAGAACGGAGCTGGGACTAGCAATGGCGGACCGGAGCAGAGCCGGCTCCGTGGGGAAGGCTGCTGCCATGGACGTGGCCGGCCCTGAGCCGGGAGCAGGATGGCGCGTGGTGGGAAGTGGGGACAGAGGTGCCGGGAGCCCCCTTCTCCCACGGCCGACTGCCCTCTGCTCCAACGCAGGGTCTTTGGGCTGCTGGAGGCCGCTCGGAAGCTGGTGCTGGTGGCGGAGTCGTTTCACCACCAGCGCTGCGTGCTGAAGGTGGAGGTGTTCCCACACACACGGGCAGGTGGGGAGAGGTGAGCCCCGAACACTGTGCTGCGACCACCAGCGCTCTGGGGAGAAGCGTTCGTCCTTGCAGGGGCGGCAGCCGGCAGCTCAGCGGGTGGAGGGAAAGGAGAAATGGGTCCGTGGGGGCTGTTCTGCCGCCTCCCCGGATCTCGGTGGGGACCTTCGGGGCTGCGGCCAGAGGCTCCCCCAACGCCTCCCCTCTAGGAGGCACCTCCTGTGCAGTGCAGCCACCGACACCAGCCTCGCCTTCTGGGACATCACCGGCCCCATCGCAGATGCGACGGACGCCCTGCACCGAGCGGAGGGAGAGATGCAGCCCCTGGGTAGGTGCAGCTGCCGGCGGCTCGGCTCTGCGTCTCCGGCCAAGGTGAGCATCGCTCTCCTGACCCAGCCTGTTTTCCCAGCCCTGGGCGCCCCGCTGCTCACTGTCATGGCTCACAGCTGCGGCGTGAACAGCCTCCACGTCCGCGAGACACCGGAGGGACGGTACCTGGTGGCCAGCGGCAGCGACGACGGCTCCAACCACGCCCGCCTGCTGGGGGGGGGCCCTCGGGGGGGCGGGGCG